CGGAGCCGGGCGGCAGCAGCGGCCGCCGGGGCGGGCCGGGCCGGGCCTGCGCCCGCCGCTCACCTGCTTGAGCCGGGCGATGAGCACCGTCTTCACGCCGGTGATGTCCAGGTTGCGCCGCTTCAGCTCCGACTTGAGGTCGATGACGCGCAGGTCGCTGATCCTCTTGCTCTCGGTGGGCGGCGCCGCGGGAGCCGCGGGAGCCCCCGCAGCGGCGGCGGCGGGAGCGGAGGCGGCGGCGGCCATTTTAGAGCGGGCGGGCGAGCGCGGCNNCGCGCGGCGCTGCGCAGGCGCGGAGCGGCGCACCTGGCCCGGAGCGCCCGCCCCGCCCGGGGCCCGCCCTGGCGTGAGGGGAGCGGGACAGCCCCGGGAGCGGGACAGCCCCGGGTGGGAAGGGGCTGGAGAGCCCCTGCTGTGGGCAGCGGCTCAGGAGCTGGGGGCTCAGCCTGCAGAGGAGAAGGCTCAGGGTTGACCTTATCGCTCTACGGCTCCCTGCCAGGAGGGTGCAGCCGGGTGGGGTCGGTCCCTTCTCCCAGGGAACAGCGACAGGACAGCAGGACGTGTCCTCAAGCTGCACCAGGGCAGGTTTAGGTTTGACTTCAGAAATAATTTTTTCACAGAAAAGGTGATTGGACCCTGGAACGGGCTGCCCGGGGAGGTGGTGGAGCCGCTGTCCTTGAAGGTGTTTAAGGAGACACTGGACGAGGCGCTGGTGCCATGGTCCTGCTGACTTTGATTTCAGCCACAGGTTGGACTCCATGACCTCTGAGGTCCTTTCCAACCTAACAATTTCTGTGATTCCTGCGTGTTCTGGCCACTGATTTGTCACAGTTTAGGAAATGAACAATTGATCTGTTTGTGTAACAGTTTGTTACTGGAAGTATTCCAGAAGTACAATACTAATGTTTTAAATTTTTGACAAAGTGCCTCTTCTTATGATTTATTAGTCTATACTTGTATCAGGTAATGGAAGATGTTACCTCTTAGTTCCCTTTCATTCATTTTCTGTAGGAAATGCTTGAAGTTATTTTGTCAACAACAGATGTTAAACTCCTACTAAATCTTCAAATGAGGCAGAATTTAAGTACCTATAAATTGAAGTCACAGCAGTCCTCTTATTCTCTCTTCATTCAGAAATTACATAAAGACAAAACTGAAAAAATGAATGTTTGTTTTATTTAACAAATCTTTGTTAAACAATCTTTTATGTAAATTAAGTTCTGAATCCTGAAAGATTTGTTACACCATTCTCTTTTTCTTTTCAAAGTGCACTTGGAAGTGCATTTCAAAATTACCTGAAGTAATACTTTCATTAATAAACAATTGACAGAGGGTAAAATCTATATTTAACAAATCTTTGTTAAACAATCTTTTATGTAAATTAAGTTCTGAATCCTGAAAGATTTGTTACACCATTCTCTTTTTCTTTTCAAAGTGCACTTGGAAGTGCATTTGAAAATTACCTGAAGTAATACTTTCATAAGTAATAAACAATTGACAGAGGGTAAAATCTGTGTATTTAAAAGTAGACATGCACAGAAGTCTTAAAACACACTTTGGACTGGTAATTGCATGCATATCTTAACTATGTTATATTGCAGTTCATACCAGGATTTTCATAAAAAACAATCTTAAATAAGACTATGTATTTTTTATTATGCTGTCTTTTGTGACAACATCTGTATTAACATCAAATATAATAGGATTGACTTTGAGGTTAATACATGAACCCTAACTTAACTTTAGACTACAGAAACATTTTTGTGAGTGTATGGAAAAAGACCTATTTTATTTTCACATAACCTTGGATTCAGCACTGTAGCAAACTTTTAATCAGGGCTGTCAGGTTTGCTGTGGTAAACTGTTGTGGAAATACACCCAAAACTCACTGTGTGGGTTCCATGTTAGTGAAGGCAAGTTTAGTGTGTCTCATTTCTGGAAAGAAGATGAGAGGGATCACAAATACAGCACCTGCACTGGTTGTTAGGGGTTTCTTGACATACCTAAACCTCAGTGCTTGTTGGTTGAGGTCGTGTAGATGTTCAAGCTTTACACCTAATGCATCCCCTCCCCCAAAAAAAAGCAACCCAGAGAGCCAGAAGTGACCTTACCTGGATTCTCAGTCATCCTCCTGCCTCAAGGCACAATAAACTATTATGAAAACAACCTCGAAGGATGTTTGCACAACCTGTTCTTGAAGCCTTAAACACAGATTCCACTCATTCCTCAGGCAGTCTAGTCTAGTCCTTTACTCTCCTTTTTTGAATATCCAGATCAAATACCTTTTGCTGCAGTTTAGCTGATTTATTCCAAGTTAATATGGTCAATGTTCTCGTTCTTTTTGCAGCACCCTTTTACACAAATTGAGACTGTTACCATATTTTTGTTCAGTCTTTCTCTTTTGGGTTGTTTTTTATAAAAGCACTAATTATTCCTTTTCTTTTGATCAGTTCTGAAACACAAGGCTTTGTGTTGCTGTACCCCTCTAGCTCCCCCCCAGTCTTCTCACAGCTTCCACAGGTACCGTGGTGGCAGCTCTTCTGATGATGCCTCAGCAGAGGGGATGCCTTCCCCAGCCTCATGAGCTTTCTGTGTTCTGCTTGTGATCCACTCTGCCTGCTGGTTTCTTTTCTGCAAGTTCATTACCACAATTACTGTTCTCTGTGCAGTTGATTTCTTGCTGAGTGCAGAACGTTGCTCTCGTGTTTGTAGAATCATCATCCCCCTGTTGCAATGATTTCAAACTCTGCTCTTGCTTCTCCTCCCTGCAGCACCCCCAGCCAGGGGCCAGCTCCAGGCTTATGAGTGTGGTGTCTAAGCCTTTTGCAAAGAGATTACAATATAGAAGTGTACAAGGAATTTTGTTTGATGGAAATTTAGTATTTATCCATTTTGATATTATTTGATATAAACTGTTAATGGTGACCCTCAAAGTACAACCAGTTTTGTATCAAATTGCTGGATTTTCTGTCCAGATCAAATCTCCTTATCTTTCTTATGAAAATGTCAATGAAACAGAAGAGCCTTGCTGTAGTGAAGATCTTCAATTTATTTATGTTTGTTGAACCAACATAAAAAACTAGGTTGGTTTGATAGACTGTTTATGAGCAAATCATATTGGTTGTTATTTATCATTTGTTATTTTTCAGGTATATACAAACGTTTTTGAATTCATCTGGGAATTTTAATCAAGTTGACTGGATTCTAATTTCCTGTTTGTTAGATTGTTATGTTGGGGTTTTTTTCCTAAAGAAAAACACTCAGTCTTTTACTTGTCTCTTGAAACATCTGCCAGTTTTCAAAATAAATGTTGTTTTCTACCATTAGGTTCTGAAATCTGTAGAAAGGTTTGGTTAGGAAACAGTAATAAGACTTCCAAAGAGGAGAAGTGTTTGGCCCATATATTAGTATTTAAACAAGTACAGACCTGTGCTACTGTAAATTGTTTTTTGTCTATTTTGTATGTGAGACAGCTGGAAGCTATGAATATCCTTAGATTTGTCACATTTTCCCCTGGGCTTTATACCTTGGTGGGATTTTCCTGTGTAGATGATCCCAGTTCAGCTTCTCTGCCCAGTCCATTCCCAACCTGCCACTGCAGCACAATGCAGGAGCAAACCTCAGCTTTCTCATCTCTTTAATGCCTTCATGCAGTTGGTACCTGAATTTCTAAATTAATTAAAACTGCAGTTTTAGTGTGTTTGGACTCTGTAAAAATAAAGGGATATTCAGTGTTTTTAGACATAGAGAAGTGGTTCTGCCTCTTTTTTGTACAGAAGCCTGGCTAGAGCATTCAGCTAGATCAACAGGCTGTCCCAGTTTCCTTCTCTTCACACAGCCACCCATTTGTCCATATCCCCTTCTAAGAAAAAGAGATGTTGGTTCAGGAAAAGGACTTTGGGGAGCTGGAAGGTCACCTCCAAATTCATCTCACTTGAAATATATTTCTCTTTTATTGCAAAGATCTCTGTACTTCTCTGCTTAACATATTGCTTCTGTAAAAACTGACTTTTGCAGTCTGTGTTTTGACTCTTAACTTTAGTTAACAACAGCTCTAACAACTCTAACTCTGTGTTTTGACTCTTAACTTTAGTGAACAACAGCTCTAACAAACTTTTCTTTGTTTGCTTCCGAAATCCAAGTTTCCAGTGCAGATTTTTGGATCTACTTTGGGGGGGACTGACTACATGAAAGCTAGTTATTACAGGAATATATGATGCAGTGACTCAGTTCCTTTTTCAGTCTAACCCCTTTTAAAAGAGTGAGGCTAGGCTGATACTGGACTAACTGAAGTAGCAGGAAAAATCCTTTTTGCTTTGAAAGACACTGAGTCTTGTCCCAGTTCTCATGTTGCATTGACTGGTTGCTGTAATTTTAAACTGCACTATTTCTCTGGACTGCAGACAGAGCAAGAGTAACTATTTGGGACATTTCAGTGAATGCCTGACAATAGATACACCTTGAGATAAAAATCACTGATAATTTAATATGTATCACTGGTATAAAAAATAGCTTTTTCCACTCTGAATGTATAGTTTTCTTTTGATGTATTATTGATGTACTGCATGATGAGCAGTCAGAGGAGGTTGTAAAAATGAAATTCTGGTCTCTCAATTGCTCTCATTATAATTCTTCTAGAGAACAGCAAGGAAAAGAACATAAATCCAGTTGTAAATCAAACACAAATATCTTATATTTTACCACTGAAACCATACATACATGCTAGGAAATGGCTATTGAATTTCTTAGTACAAAGTCAGATCATTAAATGCAGGATGCTTTTGTTTGTTTTAAACCTAATTGCTCTAAAAATAGCCACTGATGCATCATTAAAACACAGAAATGTATTTGGCCCCATTATTGTACAAGCACTGAAAGAATAAATAGGAATATCTCGTGATCTTTCTACTAAGAGCTTGGTGACATACTTGTTTTTGAATAAGAAAAAGAACTATTAAAAATACTGTCAACAAACTAGCTATTTCCAAGTAATTACATTCACCACACCTTCTTAATTATATGGCAACTTAAATATTTAAGCTATCAGATAATCTCAGAAAGATACTGTGGGACCTTAGTGGGGATTTGCATAATTTCTGAAGTCATGTGTTGTGAAAATGCTGTTTCTAACCTTGCAGAGCCTTATCAGGCTGTACAACATGAAATCAAATGAGTGACTGGTGGATCATTTCAGTATTAACATCATACTGTAATGCAGGGTATTTTGTTTTTCCATGTATCTTAAAAATATAAAATACCTGAGTGCTGCATGATATTTTCCAGAG